GCGCTCTCCCCACCCCCCCGGGTCTTTGGCCCCGCCCAAAGGCCAGAACGGCCCCTTCCTGGTCTTTGTTCAGAAATCCCTTCGTGCCGGGGAGTCCCCGGCCGCTCCCACCAGCACAGTCTCTCTTTCTTTTACATCCAGAACATCGCTGCTGCCTATTCAACAAGAGAAAGGGGCTTTCTTTGCAGGTGACTAGCAAGTCAGATTCCCAGAGCTCTGAACGGGAGAGCCAAGAGCCTGCAGCTTAGGAGTCAGATACAGGCTGCGGCTTTCGGCACCACACGCATGGGGTGGGGCCCGGCCGCTCCCACCAGCACAGTCTCTCTTTCTTTTACATCCAGAACATCGCTGCTGCCTATTCAACAAGAGAAAGGGGCTTTCTTTGCAGGTGACTAGCAAGTCAGATTCCCAGAGCTCTGAACGGGAGAGCCAAGAGCCTGCAGCTTAGGAGTCAGATACAGGCTGCGGCTTTCGGCACCACACGCATGGGGTGGGGCTACAGGAGATTTAACTGCACAACTCCAAGGCAGGTTCAAGCCCCCCATGCACGTCAAGCTGGCAAATGACTCCCCGCTGGTAGACAGTTTCCAAAGTTTGACTCGCTGAGGGCAAGGCCCGGGAATGTGACAGGCACCATTTCAGCATCTCGTTCAATTCGACTCTCACAAAACTATACATGAAGGTGGAGGAACAACACAATCTCTGAAGTACAAAACATTAAATTACAGGGCTGCAAACCAACAGGACAGTAACAAGAGCGGGACCCTCACAAGCCAGTTATTCTACAAGCAGCTGGTCCATGACTGATTGTATAACATGGCCCTAATTCAATGGACAGAGTACAAAAATGCTTGTGACCAATATTCAATTGTAGTGAACAAAGCAATCTACCGAATAGCAAGTATTACTCTAGAGGCCAGTAAGGCCTTAAAAGCGGGAGGGGCGGAGGAGACTCGCTCGTGCATAGCTGCTGCCAGCCTCCTTCGCGCTGCTCCACTTTTACTTTGGGGGGTCTCAAGAAGACCCTGTGTTTCTTTTCTTTCTTCCCTTTTGGATTTGCCTGGAAGTTTCTCCAGCTGCCCACACGACCATCCCGACTCTCCGCAAAGTTTTTCTGCCTTCTCACTCTCGCTTGGCTTTCTCTTGGGCTTCAATTTCCTCCTCTCTCTGCCGCTTCCTTTCATGCATCTCTCTAGCTTCTCTTGCTTTCCTTTTCATTTCCAGTTCAGCAAAGAGCTTCCTCGCCTGCTTGTACACGGCCTGTTCGAATACGTCCGATCCTCCTCCTCAGCGTGGGCTGGCTTCCCTGCCTGCTTTAGCAGCTTCTTTGTCTCTTTCACAGTATGGCCCACATGCCCTTTCCCTGCCGGTATCACATCCAAGGCTCCCTTCTTCTGCTCCTGGGCCAGTAGCAACTTGTATGCTTTGGCCACAGCTTCAAAGGCTGTCTGTGCTCTTTCAGCATCACCCTGATCTTTGTACCAATATGGACAACTGCCGAAACCTCCTCTTTATTTCTTCATCTGTGACATCAGGATCCATCTGCAGGACTTCCGATGGACTCACGTTGAAAGAAGAGGATCCAGGCCAGGTCAATCTCTCAATCTGGTTTTTCGGTGTTAAAACAGAGTCACGCTTTTCGATCTGCTTCACCTCGCTGGAGAAGGTGAGAAATGCCTCGGTGGCAACCCCCACCCTGCGCTCCCCGGAGCGGCCATCGCTGCACCACGTGACACAGGACCCCCATGCAACCCCAGTCTTCTTAGCCTCTCCTCATATGGGACCCGTTCCAAACCCCTCATCATTTTAGTTGCCATTTTCTGAACCCTTTCCAAGGCCAAAATATCTTTTTGAGGTGAGGATACCACATCTGTACACAGTATTCAAGATGTGGGCGTCCCATAGTTTTATACAGGGGCAGTAAGATATTCTTTGACTTATTTTCTATCCCTTTTTTAATGATTCCTAGCATCCTATTTGCTTTTTTGACTGCCACTGCACACTGTATTTTGACCACCACTGCACACTAACATAGTGAATACAAGCAGAGAGAGGGTAAGTTTAGAAGATAGGATACACAAAGAACAAGTTAAAAATCACTTAGGAAAGTTAGATGTCAGCAAGTCACCAGGTCCTGATGAAATGCATCCCAGGATACTCAAGGAGCTGATAGAGGAGGTATCTGAGCCTTTAGCTATGATCTTTGAAAAATCATGGAAGACAGGGGAGATTAAGAACAAGTTAAAAATCACTTAGGAAAGTTAGATGTCAGCAAGTCACCAGGTCCTGATGAAATGCATCCCAGGATACTCAAGGAGCTGATAGAGGAGGTATCTGAGCCTTTAGCTATGATCTTTGAAAAATCATGGCAGACGGGAGATTCCAGAAGACTGGAAAAGGGCAAATATTGTGCCCATCTATAAAAAGGGGAATAAGAACAACCCAGGAAACTACAGACCGGTCAGTTTAACGTCTGTCCCAGGGAAGATAATGGAGCAGGTAAGTAAGGAAATCATATGCAAACACTTGGAAGGCAATAAAGTGATAGGGAATAGCCAGCATGGGTTTGTGAAGAACAAGTCATGCCAAACTAATCTGATAGCTTTCTTTGATAGGATAACGAGCCTTGTGGATAAGGGAGAAGCGGTGGATGTCATATACCTAGACTTTAGTAAGGCATTTGATACGGTCTCGCATGATATTCTTATTGATAAACTAGGCAAATATAACTTAGATAGGGCCACGATAAGGTGGGTGCATAATTGGCTGGATAACCGTAGTCAGAGAGTTGTTGTTAACGGTTCTAAATCCTGCTGGAAAGGGATAACAAGTGGAGTTCCTCAAGGGTCTGTTTTGGGACCCGTACTGTTCAATATCTTCATCAATGATGTAGATATTGGGATAGAGAGTACGCTTATTAAGTTTGCAGATGATACCAAACTGGGTGGGGTTGCAACTTCTTTGGAGGATAGGGACATAATTCAAAATGACCTTAGCAAGTTAGAGAAATGGTCAGAGGTAAACAGGATGAGGTTTAATAAAGAGAAATGCAAAGTGCTCCACTTAGGAAGGAACAATCAGTTCCATACATACAAGATGGGAAGCGACTGTCTAGGAAGGAGCATGGCAGAAAGGGATCTAGGGGTCATAGTGGACCACAAGTTGAATATGAGTCAACAGTGTGATGCTGTTGCAAAAAAAGCAAATATGATTCTAGGTTGTATCAACAGGTGTGTTGTAAGCAAAACTCGTGAAGTCATTCTGCCGCTCTACTCTGCACTAGTTAGGCCTCAGCTGGAGTACTGTGTCCAGTTCTGGGCACCACATTTCAAGAAAGATGTGGAGAAATTGGAAAGGGTACAGAGAAGAGCGACAAGAATGATTAAAGGTCTAGAGAACATGACCTATGAAGCCAGGCTTCATGAACTGGGCTTGTTTAGTTTGGAAAAAAGAAGATTAAGGGGGGACATGATAGCGGTTTTCAAATATCTAAAAGGGTGTCACAAGGAGGAAGGAGAAAATTTGTTCCTCTTGGTTTCTGAGGACAGGACAAGGAGTAATGGGCTTAAAGTGCAGCAGGGGAGGTTTAGATTGGACATTAGGAAAAAATTCCTAACTGTCAGGGTGGTCAAATATTGGAATAAATTGCCAAGGGAGGTGGTGGAATCTCCCTCTCTGGAGATATTTAAGAACAGGTTAGATAGACATCTGTCAGGGATGGTGTAGACGGAGCTTGATCCTGCCTTGAGGGCGGGGGGCTGGACTCGATGACCTCTCGAGGTCCCTTCCAGTCCTATTATTCTATGATTCTATGATTAGCACTTTTGTTGGTAAAACTTTTTTTCCAGTTTAGGTATGATAAAAACATCCAGACAGGAAGTATT